AAATTTCAATAAGTCTGATAATCACATGATCAATCAACGATTTTCAAGTATTGGTGCCTGTGGGGGTTTTCTTTGATTGGATTGCATCAAGAGCTGACATCAGTTAGAGAACCACTGGAAAACCAGCTGGGAGTACTAAACAGCTATTTCACTAGCCTAATTTCGGTCTCTTCAGAAGTACGTAGCAACCGAAGTATGATCGCAGGACCTTCTGGTTACAAGGCCAGCGAGCTCGTAAACCACTGAGACTCGATGTAATGGCCAGCACATGAATCCTAATTTTTGCCGATTCATGACATAGCGCGACTACTTCCCAATGTCTCCTTCAATGAGTTACTGCCTCACCTTCAACCTGGTGCACCCTAGCGGTCACGGCTTCCCGCTATAAACCCAAGTTAACTGCCTACCTGAATAAGGCAAGTCACTAGTGAGCGACGGATTAATTAACTGCCACTGAATCGGGTCCCAGTGACTTAATGGTCTACTAGCTCGCCAGCTTTGTAACCAGAAGGTCCTTGGTCCGAACCCTGGTTGTGGGTGAGTACTGATGAAGAGTCCCAAACTAAGCCGACGAAACAGCTGTTCAGTACTCCCTGACCAGTTCTCTGGTGGTTCTCTAACTGATGTCAGGTCATGATGAAATCCTCTAATGAATCAACGATTAACAGACGCATTTATTTATAGATCCGATTTATCGCTAACTGCAATAAAGCATAAACCACACATGATAGGGAAAGCCAAATCCCAAGTCAACAAAAAACGATCAATACAGATGGATATTAACAACTAATCATGGTAGAGGTTGGTCAGGAAATCCTAATATATATTACTCACAAAGAGAATTCAAATCACTTCATTGAAGATATGCTCTGCCTAGCAGGAGACAATGATGAAACCTGTTTCGTTATAAAACCACCACCACCACCATCAACCAGCTCAGAAAGAAAGCGACTTACACCAGGAACAAATCATTATTTGAAGTTAACTGGTGGATGGTGATTAGCAGTGCAATCCAATCGGGATGTGCATTTCGTCCTATTTGGGACTCGTCCACCAGCTGGATGTAACTGCATACCCTAATGAGTGAGTGATGATATTTCCACCGAGGCTCGAACCCAGTGCCCATAGTTTCAAACGCCGACCAAAGGGTTATCCACTAAACCACTTAGGCTACAACAGCCAGCCACCTCTTGTGCAACAACGGAACACATATTAATTATTTAATTCAATTTTAGATTTTTCTGTCGACTGGTTGGACCCCGAATGGCTCCTCAGTCTCAAGTTGACATGTCAGCTTCTTGTGCAGATGCTTCGACGATGCTAGTCACCATCCATCGATTAACTTCGAAATAAATATCCAGCAGACATCGTCGAATCATCTGCATAAGAAGCCGACATGTCAACCGGAGAGCGAGGAGCACCTCGAGGTCTGTCAGTCTGTCTATTTTCGATATAGAACTTTGTATAGATGTGCAGCAGTTCAATTCGCCACACTCCCTCCTTGTAGCACACAAAACAACAGAAGAAAGTTGAAGAAATGCATAATAGAGACAGTAAACAGAGGTGTGAGACAAAGGAATAGTAATAGTAAAGCACATTGTAGTTTTATTGGAAATTATAAGTCACAAGGAGTGGATGCATCTGCTCCAAGTCAGCCATTGAGAACGATCACCTTGAGCCATGTCACCAATTGTTTCCAACCATTGGTTTTTACCATCCCAAGGACCCTGACTAGTCAGCCACGCAGTCTACACCTTCCTACGTAGCTTAAACTAACTGTTGTGGATTTCATTGACTGATGAATCCATGTTTTGGATTGACCGCCGCTAGCTCTTTTCCAGCCTGACCCTATATCAGCTAACACTGCTTACTGTCGAGAAAGGCGATGACTAGGCATACGTAAAACATGTCCTAACCATCTCAGTCGATGTAATTTCACAGCCTCGTCCATTGGTTTCTCCTCCCACCTACCTAGCACTCGACCGAAGCGTAACCTCAATATTGCGCACCTTATTATACCACTTCACACGGGAGATAGAACGCAGACACCTATGATCAAAGATAGCTAATCTTTTCGTCTCTTCTACTTTCAATGGCCAGGTCTCACAGTCATAAAAGAGGACGGAGCGAACTACTGAGCAGTACACTCGCTCTTTGGTCGATAATACCCGGATTTCACGTCTTCGAAGCCAGAGACGGCATAAACTGTATCCATGCTGAGATGTCGTCAGAGATCAACCCGTTGGCACTGGCTGATGGTACTTCCAAAATAAGCGAAGTGGTCAACGTGCTCTACCACTTCACTCCCTATTTCTAAACTAGGCTGCAGTGTAGTCCAGTCCTGTAACATCATCTTACATTTGGCGAGAGCAAACAAATCGCATGCCAAACATTCGTAGATTGCAGCTCAAGGTGTTCAGGAGACTCTTCTGGATTTTGTCAGAGTCTTCACCTAGATGGGAGGACTATATCGTCTGCATATTCTAAGTTGAGGTCAAATCAATCGACGGGAAAATCTGAAATTCAATGAAATCATTATTTAGTTTGCTGATGTAATGCTTACATTAAGGGACTGTCTGAATAATAATAATAATAATAATAATCGAAATATAACTAAATATACACATATATTGGTATGTGTATTATATTTGCGTGGTTCGCTAAAATTCCATTAACCCGACATACCAACAGTAAAAATAAATTGTGAACTTTTGACCCTTGCATTATTTTGCAGTGTGAAAAAAGCATAATATTTTTAATTTTGGTGAAAATATAAGCGGAGAAAACAGGGTGAAAGCAAAATAACAACTAGAAAAGTTGTTTTGTAAAAATGACAAGCCAATTTAGATGTCATCATTCGGAATGGAATAAAATGGACTGTGAAACGCATTCAGACACACACACACACACACACACCAAGAAACAAACCTACAGGTCTTTGGATGTTTTCCAATTATAACGAATAAACACCTCAAAGACGATATGTTTACCCCCATTCGTAATGGTAATAAATGGGCAACAAAGTATTTTTTCTAAAAATATTATGGGAGAAATCTTTGTGAAGTGGGGAAGAGGAAGAGGAGGTCTGAGGGTTAAGTGATTCGTTTTTTAAATGAAAGTACATTATATTACGGATGCAAAAAACTGTGCCCGGACCAAGCTGGATTTCTTCTTTTATTTTATTCCTCTACGTTCCCAGTGGAACATAGGTGGCTTCAAGCTAGAGCTTTGAAGTTTCGGTTGTAATGGTGTTTATAGGGGTTGCTAGCCTCATATTCATGCCAAACCTTCCCTCTTTACCGGTCTTATTACTGACTCAGCGAGGTTAAGGAGTGAATGGGTGGCCGGCGATCGAACCCCGAACCACATGAGGTGTGGTTGGCGAGCATTCTATCTGTTTCAACACTCGGTAGTGTCTGAAATCTTTATCAACCTTATTCAATAGCTCTATATGATTCCCAATGGAAAACTCCGTTGTCATATGTCATGAATATATACGTATTTTATACTCAAAAATCGCCCTTATCATGTGGTCGGTCCGTTCAAGGTCATTTGTTCGTTGGTATTTACTGGTGCTTAAAGTTTAACTTCGCCATTTCTTTCTTTCTTTCTCCCGCACAATTCTCCTCATTGTAGTACTCACCGAATTTCTGGTTTAAGTCTTTTGTCTACCTTTGTGTACTACATAGAGTGTGTTAACTTGAATTGTTGCACTACTCTGCAAAGTTCAGCAGAAGCGGTTGCAGAAGTTGGAATTCATGGGCTGGTCATTGGATCCGGTCCCAGTGGCTGAGAGTGGTCTCCGGGCTCACTTTATCACAGCCAGAAGACTCCGGGTTCGAACCCTGGCAGTGGGTCAGCACACTGCTGTAAAGTTCCAAACTAGGATCACAGAAACAGCTGTTCGATCAGTACTCCCTGACCAGTTCTCCAGTGATTCCCTAACTGGTGTCAGCTCATGATGAAATCCTGTAACCGATCAAATCATATCCCAGCAAACTAACACTTAAATATCAACCACAAATGAAAACATTTCAGACATCAGTAAATAAACAGAGACAGTACGCATATAAAAGTCGGGTTGTACGTCTAAAATGTAACTGTTCATCTGCAGAGTATTAGTCAAAAAAATCAGTAATAGCTATTTTTCTTAAAAAGCAATTCAGACACTTCTATAGCCTACATGCACGACGAATGGTATTACTTATTGAAAGGGGTAGAGTACTGTGCTGCTGGGGAACAGGGATGTAACAGCCACAGTAAGGTGTTTCCCTCAGATGATCCGCATGCCAGCCAGCTAAGCTGTCTCTCCACTCTGGAGAGATGCGGTTAGAAAAAGTCTACTCCAACAATTGTAGATCCCGACTTACCCTACGGTGGTCCGTAACCGGCGGTAAGTTTACTAAGATGGAATGAACAAAAAAAAACCAGTTCATACAGGCCGTGTGTGAACGGCCTCAAGCAGTTGTCCCCTGGGCTCTGTGATCACACAACACCAACCCTCTTTTTGTTCCAGGTACCTGAAGGACCAATCAACCTTCATGGTGTGGACAGCCGGAAAGTAGCAACCGTCCACACACTTCCAAAAGCCCATGAAGCCTCCCCGAGTATTATTCTCCTTTACCCACATTAACTTCCTCATCTTGCTGCCTTACTACAATCACTACTATTCTGCAGGCTAGTGAGTCATCTTCACTTCACTCTTTTTACTTTCTTCCCTTGCTTCGTATGCTACATGGAGTGGAGTGTGGAGACTCGAACTGCTGCACATTGGTGCAAACTTCTATGTTGAAACTAATTAGTCAGAGTAGGTTTTGTCTTAATTAGGTCTGCCGATCAATCGTATAGGTTAATTTCATCCTAATGATAAGTGATGGATATACCCACCATTAGGTTAAAACGGGCATACCCAAAGTCGAATAACATTAGAAACGCAAACAAAATTCGGTAACAAATTGAGACATGCGAAAAAAGTACTCATCATTAATTAATTAACTCACTTCTATCCTGTTTCCGTTTTTTACAGTCGAAGTCCAACCGTCGTCCTTCAAGTTTCTTTCGATGATGCTATAAAAGTAAAGAAAATAATACACAGATATATACATATAAACCTTCGAATAATAATAATAATGATAATGATAATAAGCCTAGCAAATATGCAGAAGAAAGTGGAGATGGATAGGATATACGCTGTGGGGATCGTTGAACGAAATCACACGATAAGCAGTCATTGAGAACGATTACTATGAGCCATAGCATCAATTGAGTTAATGTGTTCAAAAAATCTATCTATATCTTGTGTTCTAAGTACAGTGAATGTGTCATCTACCTCATACCTCCACCATACTTTTGGGGTAAGGGTGAACGTTTCAATCGCTATGTTTTCTCACCTATCCATGATCGACGCCTAGTTTAAAAATAGGAAGTGAAGTGGTAGAGCACGTTGACCGCTTCACTTATTTGGGAAGTACCATCAGCCAGTGCCAACGCGTTGATCTCTGACGAAATCTCAGCACGAATACAGGGGGCTCGTTTCGCATTTGCCAGTTTACGCCGACTCTGGCGTAGACGAGATGTTCGACTATCGACCAAAGGGCGGGTGTACTGCTCATCAGTCTGCTCCGTCCTCCTTTATGGTTGTGAGACCTGGCCACTGAGAGTGGAAGACATGAAAAGACTAGCTGTCTTTGATCATAGGTGCATGCGCTCTATTTCCCGTGTAAAGTGGCATAATAAGGTGCGCAATATTGAGGTTAGGCCTCCGTCAAGTGCTAGGTAAGGAGGGGAAATCAATCGACGAATTTGTGAAGTTACAACGACTGAGATGGTTAGGACATGTGTTGCGTATGCCTAGCCATCGCCTCCCTCGACGAGCAATGTTAGCAGATATAGGGTCAGGCTGGAAAAAAGCTAGCGGCGGTCAAACAAAAACTTGGCTACACCAGTCAATGAAATCCACAACAGTTGGTCTAAGCCACGTAGGAAGGTGTAGACTGGCTTGCTGGATGGGGTCCTCGGGACGGTAAAAATCTATGGTTGGAAACAATTGGTGACATGGCTCAAGGTAATCGTTCTCAGTGGCCGGCGCAGATGCATCCACTCCCTGTGACTTATGATCTTCAATGAAACTGTTTTGTATTTCTTTATTACTCCTTTGTCTCACACCTCTGCTCACTGTTTCTATTATGCTTTTCTTGTACTTTCTTCTCTTGCTTCGCGTGCTACACGGAGTGTGGCGACTTGAACTTCCGCACATTTGTGCAAAGTTCTATGTCGAAAACAGACAGACACCTATCCATGAATATATCTGCTACAACTGGGGATATTGGTAATCCTTTGTCAGCTCCCTCAGCTTCTTTGTATATTTTCCCTTGGAATTTAAGTACTGTGGAAGTCAGGCATAGCTGCACTCCCAGAATTATGTCCTCAAGTGGCACTTTTGTTCGAAGTTCGAGTTTTTGGTCAGAAATGAGTTTGTTTCTGACTGCCTCTATAGCCATATTTATTTATTTATGCACGCAGTTACACGCAACCATACAATAGGTGGATCGGATAGGATGACAGTTTTAAAATCTAATGTCGCAGCAGGGTGGAGAGAGAGATTGATAACAGAACCTTTGCTTATCGAATCAACTGGGAGAGAATACATGTAATAGGAATGATTCAGCACCTGTGCAGACAGATATCTAGAAAATTCTACTACATCAACGACGACAAATAGAAGACAAAGAAAACTATAAAACTCAAGTCTCGAAGTCATGTGATTATAATTGATTGGTGTGATTATGAACAATAGTGAATTGTGTTCGAAACTGTGTCATCCAGTAAATAATGCTCTTTCACTCTGTGTGTGATACATCTAATCAACTATGAGGATACAAAATTGAAAAATAAAATTATTAAGAATAGTAATAAAATTGCACGGAATGATGACAATACTAACAACAGTATGGAGTTTAAATCATCAGTTGTAGTAACCTCGGAAATCGCCTCACAGAGATTTGTTAACAATGCAGGAAGGAATAAAAGGGGCTGGCAATCAAACCACCCACAAACTCAATTGAATAAAAGCTTTGTCAGTTAAATGGTCGATCCTGTCAGTAGAGCCAATTAAACAAAACATTTTGTTTATTTAATACCCTGCCTGCAATGATTATCAGGTCAAATACATAGGACAATGTACTAGAACATCGTCAGCCAGATTAGCGCGGAGCAAAATCTAGATCAGTTGACCAGAATAAGATAAGAAATCCAGAGAATAGTTCAGCCGTAGATGGCACTACATACAATTACACACAACCAACCATACAATAGGACAGGATGGGATAAGATGAAAGTTTTAAAAGCTAATATAACAACAGAGTGGAAGGAGAGATTGATAACGGAAGCTTTATTCATCATCGAGTCAACTGCTAACATGTGTAATAGGAATGATTCAACACTTGTACACCCCCCCCCGCTGGACATCTGGAAAATCATTTCACCTCTACGACGACGAATAGGAAAGAATAAAGAAAACTATAAAACTCAAGTTTTGAAGTTGTGTACTTATAATTGATGATATGATTTTGAACAATACTAAATAGGGTTCGAAACTGCGTCATCCAGTGTATAATACTGTTCAACTGTGTGACGTACCTAATAAACCACAAGGCGCAAGTTTTACACATATATCCATAGGACTTAGCATATAAATCTAAGCTATTGGACTAAGCTCCACACCTACATCAACCGAAAAAAAAAAGATGACGTAGGTATAAAAAGACACCTTATATATTACTAGTTCCCGGAACAAACCTTTCATTCCAATGAGCTACACTTATCTTTCTGTGAGGACTATCGATACTACACATTTTCTCAGGCTGAAATGGATGGATGGACGCAGAGGGGCCTCGAACTGAAGACTACCTCGGGCATCCTAGAATAGTTATGAATGGTTCAGTACATAAATGTTACTTAAGTTGTAAGAAATTAATTGGATGAGATATCTAAAGTATATTTTTCTTATTATTATTACTAATAATATTGATTATATTATTATGCTTGCAGCATACCAACAAAAAAGGTGCAGTCTGTTGACCACAATAGAAAGTATTAGCACAGAAGTTAATTATCTTTCTCTGTCCAAATCAATATAATCTGCTTTCTTTTAAACCCTATACAAAACTTAATTTATCTAGGTGTTAGTTTGTAGAATTTCGAGTTTTATTTCAATTTTTCGATCACAGATTCATGCGTCAGTTAGTTAACGATGGAGCTAAAAATAGAGAAATGACATTAGTTAGAATCCATTGGCCGTTCCAGAGGATGAATGATCAACCGACTTGACTTGTAACCCAAAAGTCCTGAGTTCGACCCCAGGAGGGTTGGGTGGCATACGGATGAAGGGTCATCACCTAGCAAAAAACAGCCACCTATCTGATATTAATCTGTGATCAACCCTGAGGACTCGAATAGATGTTCATCAAAAAGAAAGCAGTCCTAGTTATAAAAAACCATAAATCATAACGATGACGGTGGGGTCGTATCCAGGTGAAATTCTCTCTCAGTCCATCATTCCAATTCAGGTCATTTGGATTCCACTTCATATGAAGTACTTCTGATGATATCAGACGTTCTTTGTCATTTCTGAAATTTTTCTGGATGATGATTTCAATATTTTCAAGTATTGGCTGTCCAGTACTCCCAGGTTTTCCAGTGGTTCTCTAACTGATGTCAGCTCATGATTAAATCCTCCATGCAATGATTTCAATATTGACAAAATGAATTTTGTGGCCTGATTCTAGAGCTGATGATTTCTCAAGCTTTTCTAGTTCACTAACTGGATTTCTCGGTAGTCGAACAAAGGTGGCTCTACGGTATTCCTTTCTTCTGATTACCTTGATTTCTCTCTGGTGATGTGTGTCCGATGTATATCGCATCACATTCCAAACAAGAATCTTATTTTACAGACACAATTGGATTGAGAATCCTTTGGAATTTGGTCGTTTACATGGATAAGGTTGTTTTGCAGTGTGTGTGTGTGTGTCTGATGTTTTAAAAAAAACTCCAATACTGTGATTACTGAATACTCTTCTGATATCGTTTGATGTTGAGGTCCATGTCTTCAGAATATGTTTTCGACCATTTTTATTGTCGGTGTTGATTTTCTTAATGAAGTTCTTTAGATAGTAATTTTAGTGGAGAATTTCAGAAATGCTTCACATTTCTTCTTCTTTTTTCTTTCTCATCCGTTGACATCAAAGAGTGTGCTCGTCTAAGAAGAATTGAAACAGCTGACACCCTTGCAAGGATAAGGTATGATGATCCAAATTCTAAATATTTGTTGCGTGTATTTTCTTACTGAATATATAGATATATTAAAATACCCGTTTCCCCTCCTCTTAACTAGGCAGCCAGTCTAGAAATGGTAGTTCACTGGTGTCTGATTCTGCTTCCTTTTTTTATTACAGCTTGATTCCACACTGTATTTTTAGTACAAGTATGGAATTTTCAGCATGTGATATCGGTAACCCGAATTTCGCAGGCCGACCATAGATGTCAGGTGTGAGTCGGCAGCGGATTGAACCTCGGATCATATGCATGGTCGGCGAGAGTCCTAATCGCTGTGCCACCGACGCATACAAAATAATCCGTTCGAAGACAGAGCTGAAAAAAGTAAGGCAAGACTCTTTCCAAAGTAAACTGAATGCTGGGAGATAGACTGTTCGGTTTCTCCTAGAATGAACTGTGTAAGTCTCGTTTTAGTATAACGAAAGTATCATCAAAGTAATCATCAACACGTTTAACAGACAGGGCGAGAAGTGGCTCAAATTGGTGTATGCCACCCTGGCCGAGTTGAAGACATGAAAAGGTTGACTGCTTTCGATCACAAATGTCTGCGATCGCTTTCTCACGTCAGGTGGTTTAATAACGTAAGTAATGTTGACGTCAGGCGCGGAGTGATAGGCAAAGAGGGAAAATCAATCGACGAGGCTATAAAGTTACATAGATTGAGATGGATAGGTCACGTGCTGCGCATGCCTAACCATCGCCTCCCCCCGACGGGCATTACTTGCTGATTGATA